CGGAGTAATCATGCTTTATAGATATCATAAGGTAGGTAGCGGCATTTTGTTGTCATATCTATAGTCTCTGTTAACACTTTAATATAAGTGAGTCTTTTTTTATTACCTCATAGACAGACTAGCTTACAAGCCATCTAATGGTGAGTGGTTATCGTCGCTTGTGGACATGTTAAGGGACACAGCCAAGATCTTCAAACCTCGTTATAAAAAGGAATAATAATAAANTTATAGATATCATAAGGTAGGTAGCGGCATTTTGTTGTCATATCTATAGTCTCTGTTAACACTTTAATATAAGTGAGTCTTTTTTTATTACCTCATAGACAGACTAGCTTACAAGCCATCTAATGGTGAGTGGTTATCGTCGCTTGTGGACATGTTAAGGGACACAGCCAAGATCTTCAAACCTCGTTATAAAAAGGAATAATAATAAATAACAATAATAAATGTACTGCTTCATATCAAAGCTTGGTCCTACAAAGCATTAGCGCACTTTAGATTAAATAACGTTTTTGATATAACTAGATACACGTTCATCAAAAATGTTATTAGTATCTTTCTTTGTCTTAAATAAAACTCTAAAAAGAAAAATGAACAGTGACATCCATACTAAAATATATGAATTTAAATATAAATAATCTGCAATGGTTTCATGCAGAATCCGAGGTAATGGAAAATCTAAAAACGAATGTATTATTCGTAACCTTGCTAGAAAAATGTTTTGGTACTTCAAGGAAATTCACTTTGATAAGAACATTCTTGTTATTTATGAGAAATCTATTGTTTCATTTGAAGATCTATTGTCACATTGGTATATGTTATCGCTGAAATCAAGACAAGCCGTAGCTCATTTGCTTTTGATGGTGATAAAAGACATTCAATAGTCACGTCCTTTGCATTAGACGCCTTCAGCTCTAACACTATGAGCAGGCTTAGAGACCCTGGTAACCGTACTCGTCGAACTCGACAAAGAGTTTGACGTGCAACCTAATTCATATATCAGCCCACTGAGTTTCTCGCCGGATCTTCTCAACGGATCGCGATTCCGATCCGGTAGTAGATTCATTCGCGAAGCAGTTGCTCTTGAGTTGTTTGGTCTCCTTCGGAGGCGCTTGGGCAGTTGTTAGCAAATTCCACCCCTCCTGGCTGAGCCTTTGCTCGCCCACCTGTCCTGGAGAAACTGGAAAGGCTTCGAGGCCACCAGTAATCCTTGAATCATAAATATTCGATGCTGATAATATAAAATCGTAAATAAAGCCAGTCTATGTGGAAAGGCAAAATTATAATTTGCGTAATTGCTGGTGGTAGGACCTCTTGTGAGTCCGCACGGGTAGGTACCACCGCCCCGTCTATTTCTGCCGCGAAGCAGTAATGCGTTTCGGTTTGAACGGTGGGGCAGCCGTTGTGACAATACTGAGACCTTAGAACTATATCTCAAGGTGTGTGGCGCATTTACGTTGTAGATGTCTATGGGCTCCAGTAACCACTTAACACCAGGTGGGCTGTGAGCTCGTCCACCCATCAAAGTAATAAAAAATAAAAATAAAAGTTTATATGGAAGGGGATGAAAATACACCAAAGTCACCATCGTTAGTCTTCTATACTGTCAACACATCGCTACGTGCCAAGAATTACTAGAACAAGATTTAATTTCCGCTAGTGATCGGCGGACAGAAACTGTACTCGTATAAAATGATATGTACCTACATTTCAATTTTAAAAACGATCCCAAAGTTGAGGACCATGTTAGCCTTTTTATGTAAGCGGACGAACGAGCTATCGGCTCATTTCATGTAAAATAGTTACCAGACATCACAACTTGCATGATACCACATGATACCAAATAATACCAAATGATACTAAATGATACCATATATACATAAAGTTGAAGTCTCAGTCGTGTAGCATAACGACCTTCTCAACCAACGAACAGGAACGCACAGGTGCTTCGCTTAAGAATGCAGGAACCAACCCGCGTGGACTTACAACCTTATTACCAGTTAATACCAGTTAGGGACGCACTACACAAAGTGTGGAAGACGGAATTGTCTTAAATGAAAATACGGCCTAAAAGAATCAAGTCCACCCACTGAGCTCCTCGTCGAATCTTCTCAGTGGGTCGCGATTCTGATCAGGTGGTAGATTCAATAAAGAACTACTTTTGCTAATTATGTTAGTAAAGTCTCTCAGACCAAGCCCCTGTGAGACCATCCACCAGCCGAGAGAAGCTGGAATAATCCCTTTTGGCTATCACCGATTAGGAAGGTAAAAAAAATTATTGATGATTTTTCTAATATACTAGCGGCCCGCTCCGGCTCCGCTCGGGTCTTTAACAAAAATTTCAACGATATTTGACGTTTTATTTTTTTAAATAAAATAAAACTTATTGAGGCATAACTATAAAAGTTATACATATGCTGTCGCGACACTTTTTGTATATAATAATGTGTTCTACAAAGTCGTAGTACATTATTTTATTCTATCATCAATAGTTTTCGCAGGGCACGCGATGTAAAGAATATTTTAGGTAATTTTTTTACGCCTTGGGTTACGTTATTGGACTTTTAGTAAGAATCCCTAATTTTTTTCAAAAAGCATTATAGTCATGTCACTCGGGAATAGTGTAGCTTCCAAACAGTGCAAGAATTTTTCAAATCGGTTTACTACGGAGTTTCGGAGCCTATTCAATACAAACAAATCTTTCCTCTTTATAATATTAGTAAAAGTAAATATAGTAAATGTAAATTTATTATTAGAGTTATTAATTTGTTGATTTTGAAAATATTTGCTTTTTCTTTAAATAAAGTAAATTAGTTAGAAATCGAACGAGAGCTTGGATGGGAAAACTTAATAGTATGCTTTTTTAAAATAGGTCACTGACTTCGACAAAACCTTCAGCATGTGTGATGTAGTGATATGATGTATTTATTCGGTGTTTAAAAGATTGAGTTAATGCATACTTTTTGTATTCTGTCTTGTTGTAAATATAACCACAAAATGCGTATTAAATGTTTATAAATTAACATTTTTACTGTATTAAAGATTTTGTTATTGATTTTTTAACATTTAAAATAATATTATAATGTTAGTTGAGAAGGCCTACTTGTTTATTATAATTTTATATTATTTTATTATTGTTTATTTATTATGTTTTCTATATGTACTTATTATAATTTAATTTTTATTTAAATGTGTATCTGAAACATAAATTATTGTTATCTGATAAATAAATAAATTGAATTGAATTACACTCTATATGGTTCAATTTAAGTGACTCTTGTTTTGTGTTCAAGAGCTAAAATATATCACATTATATAATAACGGATAACTACGGTTCTTTTATTGCGATTTAATATTAACTCTACAGAGAAATTACTTAGTAACTAGAGGTCCCGTAGTAGTCGAAATTCGGCTATAATTAATTGGAATTGTAAGTTTGTACACTATTATGATTGTATTTTATACTTCTATAATTACAAATTTCGCCAAGACTACACTATAAAAAATATTAACAAAGATAATATTTAAACTATTTTCAATTTGACAACAGAGGCCAAAAACAAAAGTTTGACAATAAATAGTATACATGCGTGTGTGCGTCAAATACATGGTATGTAGTGTGTGTAAGTTTTGCTTTATTGATTTAATGTATCTTTTATGCATTATTTAAAAAAAATATTAGCATCGTGCATTTCTTCTCTATATTCTCTATAAGTGTGGAAAATTTCATACTCCTCCGTCGGCGCAATTTTCGTAAAAAGGGATACAAAGTGTTTGCTTCACGTATTAATTACTCAGTAATACACTTAAACATATATCTAGCCTAAGATTGCCTACGCTGTCTAGACAAAGAAAAGTTTCCATTTCACTCCTTACAATTTTATCACAGTTGAAATGTCAAAATTAGTTTTCGCCAACTGAATTTAAATAATATCAATCTATTCCGCAAGGCTGTAACTTATTCACCTAAAGTCAATAAGTCGAATGCCCAGCAAGTAAGTTTGAAACGTTGCTGATATTATAAAGACTTTGTGCTTTCAAGAACTTGGGGCTTTCAAAGCTTAACTATCTGAACTTGCAAAAACTTGTGTTGGGCCATGAGTAGCTTTGAGTCGATTTCGAGTTACAGTTTTGAGATACAGTTTTGACGTGAAAAAAAAAATAAAGCGGAAAGTTCATTTGAATATTGTATTCCAGGTTTACGAAATGTCAATTGTTAAATTAGGTTTAGCTATATGAGTAATAAAAATCGTAAATGAATTAAAAATAGTTCGGGTTTTGAGTTTGAGTTGGGTTGAAGGGCTTATTCCTTTAGTTGAAATCAGTTTTACACATAATTGGGCATACATCTTTATTTCTATTGTATGGGTATTAAAATATACAATAAACGTTCCTTATAAATACTACATTTTTTTATCATTGAGCAATTACGAGGTCTCTATTTTGAGAGAATATTTTAGAAGATACGACTACAAATCTATAGGTATATATAAAAATGAATTGCTGTTCGTTAGTCTCGCTAAAACTCGAGTACGGCTGCACCGATTTGGCTAATTTTGGTCTTGAATTATTCGTAGAAATTCAGAAAAGGTTTAAAAGGTAAATAAATTTGAAAATATTCGGAAATAAAAATAACAATTTTGTTTTTCCTTTGAGGTGTCCCCCGTCGGACGGATTCCTTTTGTTTGTTTTAAGTTTATTTTATACAAAAGTTAGGTCTTTTATTTATCGATTGAGGCACTACGAAGTCTGCCGGGTCAGCTAGTAATGAAATAAAGAAAAAAAGGTATTAATAAATATCTCCGAATTTAGATATTAAACATCATAAATAATTAAGGTAATATAAATAATATGATAAATTAAAGCCACTTAAATTACACTTATGACATGATAACATTAATTAAACTGTCTCGAAATAAAATGCGATATTAGCGCCCAACGTTGTAGTAGCATTAAGCTTTTTTTTATTATAACAATATATATTATGAGATATGAAATACCTTTTATTAATAAGCTGATAACTGCCAACAAGATATACATCCTCATTAACTTTCAAAACCAAACTACCGTCACATATTATAGTAGCCTTTTGCTTCTAAAAAGATTTCGTTTGCACTTCCGATTACACACAGACGTTTCAAATTAAGTTCACCGGCGGTTCGATTGTCGACGTAATAATTATATTGTCTACACGCAACGATACGTCCAACGCCGACAGAGGTGGACGCTCGACTGAAGCGAACTTCTGAAGTCTGAACGTTCGTTCGCGTTCGCAATCTCTTGTCCCGAGCCCATCTGGCGTAGCACTTACGATTTTCGTGACCTTATAAAACAAGTCGATAATCGGGGTTTTATTCATAGGATATATTACTCCTTTAATACCAGGTTAGCTTTATTCAAATTATAGGTCATTACGTCATACCGGAGCCATTATAACCGAATAGGATTTTTGTGAATCGAATTTGATGCTTCAAATATACCTACTTTAAAGATCATATTTTTTTAATAAACGGTAAGAAAAGTTCTTGTATTAAGCTTTTTTTCCTACCTAAGCTGGGAGCCTGGAGAGGCTATTTCAGCGTAACCTTAACTAGTAGGTGAGCTCACGGGGCTCAAACCTGACGACGTTGCTAACACGAACCCTAGCAAGAGTCGTGCTTCGCAGAATCTACCACCGGATCGGAAACGCGACCCACTGAGAAGATCCGGCAAGAAACTCAGTGGGCTGTGTCTGTGGGTTAATTTACTCGCTGAGCCCTTCGTCGCAACCGACGGGTTCGACGAGAACGATGACCGGTGCTTAGGGTGTATTAAGCACTAGTCATTTGCTGATATTTTACTAGTATCTTCTTGGATTCCATTACATACAAATACATACAAGCATAAATATATACTAATATATAAATCTACAGTGGTTTTTATGGATGTTCCGTTATAACTACTGAACCATGCATCCGATTGACTTGAAACTTGGTATCTACGTAAAAAATACATGTAGTTCATGGATAGGCTAATATTTATATGAGTATTGGACGCCCTACACCAGTTGCGGGGATATTAATGATGAGAATCTTTGTGGGGGTGAGAAATAATAATGTTAATTTTAAATGCCTAGCGAAGTGGGCGGATGCAGCTAGTATTTTATATATTTATAAGCTCTACTTGGACGTGTAATTAGAAATTCTATTGTGCATCGTAACAACATAATTGATACTATAGACCAGCGCTATAGATAGAATAGCAACTGTAGTGCAGTCGCCGACATTTTGCTCCTCAGTACCCGGCAACAAAGCCAAACAAGATTACATGAATTGTACATAGCTTCGAATGGCTATGACCTAATTAATTTGTAGCAATACCTATGTAACTGTATGTAATGTAATGTGTAACTATACTGAGACCTTAGAACTTACATCTGAAGGCGGGTGGCGCATTTGCGTTGTAGGTGTCTATGGGCTCCAGTAACCACTTAACACCAGGTGGGCTGTGAGCTCGTACACCCATCTAAGCAATCAAAAAAATGTGGGGCTCACAAACTATGCTGGCTATAATTTTTAAGGCAAGAAACCTAGAGTAGACAGAAATTCAAACCGAGCCAATTTCTATAAAAATACCAAGCGTTGAGACGGACCGGAAATCGGAAATTTTTCTATCAGAATTCCCTTGTTTGGCATTCATTTTGCATGAACGAAAAAATTCACGATACTCCCTTTCAAGTACCGTTAAATATTCACGTCTTCATAGGATAAAAGCGTCTTTTAATTTACCGAGAGAATCGCCTCGTTGCTCCCATATTAAGGCACGACATTACGCATCTCCGTTATTAAGNGTTGAGACGGACCGGAAATCGGAAATTTTTCTATCAGAATTCCCTTGTTTGGCATTCATTTTGCATGAACGAAAAAATTCACGATACTCCCTTTCAAGTACCGTTAAATATTCACGTCTTCATAGGATAAAAGCGTCTTTTAATTTACCGAGAGAATCGCCTCGTTGCTCCCATATTAAGGCACGACATTACGCATCTCCGTTATTAAAGTGAAATATCATTAGCCTTATGTATCTCATAAGAGACGTGAGCAAGACACACTTTTTGTAGACGTCGGATGGATCGTAACACTTTATCGTAATTGTACGATGTCGTATACGAGAATGAAGAGGCATCGTAAAATCATAAACACCTCCGGTTTTCTTATCCCTCACGAATTTCTGAGCGGTGATTGTCCATTATGAATTGGCTACGGATCGATGCTAAATGAATTGATTTCGAATAAAGTTTTTTCGTTATTGTTCTGTTTTTCATAGGTATTCTCTTGGTTTAATAATTGACTACCTCATTAATGTAGCGATTAGTGACTTTGTCAACTGTTTCGTCGGGTCAAGGTTTGATTAATGGTCGAAGTAAGGATATTTAAGTGAATATTTAAAATTTCGTGTACTGTTTGTTTGTATTTTTAGTAGCGATAATAAGCTTTCCATCTGCTGTAGGCTGCTCACGTGGACTACACTTTTTGTTAGAATTTGCCCAACGTCAATCCTCTAAGCTTACGAAAATAGTTCTTTTGATATAATACCGCCCTAGTTCAGTTCTTTTGTGTAAAATATTTATAACTTAGATACTTAAACACAAACTTTACTCGCTAATCGTTCTTTCTATTTGTTAAAACTGTATCATAATAGTTTTTGTATTTTAGGAAAAGTGCGCATAGAAATAGTCAGAGGTGGACAGCGACTTAATTTTATACTTCTTTTATAGAGGTTTAAAGATTGTATTAATCAGAAAATAATTGAATGAATGGCAAGCAGACTGCCTAACACTGCCTATCAGTATTTATAATACAATTCTAGAAAACCCAAACCAAGAAGTTTAGTCAAGAAGAGGGAGAAGACCGGCCTCAAGTTTGCGATTGTATAGCGATATGCGATAACAAAAAGAAATATTTTTAATACATGTTTAATAGTGAAACACAGCCATGTTCTCTGTCACTATTAAGAAGTATTTAATACTATTACTGACATCACCTGCGCGACACCTATCGAGAGATAGCGGGGCTGTGCCACAAAATTTTCCTAAAATGCCAACAATATTGTTTAACTCAATCGCAAGAACGACGCGTTGAGGAACAAACAAACTAAGCCACAATGCTGTCTACTTTATAAATTAGATTACTTGGGTCTAAATGTTCTTTCGACAAATTGGCCGGGATGCAACTGCCGTTAATGGACCAAGGAGCACGTCTCCTCCTCGGGTATTACCCGGTGACAACCGGGCGCAGGCGGCGCACTCAGAACGCTTTATCACTTAATTTGAATCGTGTCTCGAATATAGAACGCAGCCTGCCCTTAGAATTTGAAAATTGTTAATCTGTTCTGTCAGGATATTCCTATTCCAATCTTAGTCGCAATAAGCGGATGCCCGAACTCAAATAATTTCAATACTCGGTCCCTCTTTTCTGCTGTCAGGTTAAATCGATTCAAAAAAAAAACTGTTATCATTTAAAGTCAAAGTAAAGATCTCTCAGTAATGTTACTTTTCATTAGTTTAATTTACAATGAGAAAATTATTATATTCACCAGTAAGTGTATAAAATATGTATAGCATATAAATTAAACGCGTATAAAAAAAAGACGTGTGGCACTCGGGGACTGCCGCGGTAAAGCTATTGCAAAGCATTTTTTATCAACTTATACAATTACAATTAGACAATAATAATTTAATATTAAAACAATAATAAAAATAAGACCACGCCATATTTATAAACATTAACAAAAGCAAAACATTAACTGACCCCTTCACACTCATAAGCTAGACCGCGTGAGAGAGAGATGGGCAGACTTTTCATGATGCTCATGCAGTGCGACGTCACGCCTCGCGCTTATTCACAGACACTACACCAGCGCAACGTGTGAATGTGTTGAACGCGAGCTACATAGTAGGCGTAGTGGGGGTGTCAGGTTATTTTCGTTACGGAATTTCTTGATTCAGTCACCGCGCTCAAGGCCCGCGATAAAATCTATGCAATAGCTTAAACATTATATAGGATCTGAATAATTCTCATCTCCACTCTTCATAAGTATACTCTTAATTTGAAAAGAAAGTCGTTTCAAATTGAAGATGTATTTATGTTTTCTGTGTGTTCGTTTTATATTTTTTTTCGTTGCTCTATATAGGCCCCGTTGTATTCACTAATTACAAGAGGCTGTAAACATGGCAATGTGCCACCTGCCTTGTTTCATGACGTCGGAGTCTGACATTATATACCTGTTGTCCTGCTCTATAAACGTGTGTATGCATTCACGGCAGGATCGGGTAGATTGGTGTTACCTACCAGTCACAGCATACCACAGGTGCAGGGTCACAGCAAATCACATACCTACAATGCATCATCAGTGAGAGCCTCGAGCCTAGTATATCATCGCTCTGAGGAACGATTTTAATAAACTCAAATCTTTCTTGTGAATATAACATTTTTATTGAATGTTCGTAGTGGGTGGGTTACGAAATCGAAAAATTTTAGACCAGTTTGGTCTACGCACTGCTCTCATAAAGCACTTTATGATATGCATATGTACACATACATGTGTGTCATATTTCGAGAACGTTCATGAAAATTCCTGCACCTATTTAAATGTACGAGTGGGGAATGAAATATTCGAAGCGCCTATGCAAAAATGGTCGCGCGCAAGTTTCTCGTTTCAAATAATATTCTAGAAAGTGTGCGCTCCATATTTTTAGTGTGAAGGTTGGTGAAATGACAACCCTCACCTCCCTGTAAATCAAACATGCATAAATCCAGGCCTCTCCCTTTACGCTATTATGTCAACCCAAGCGATTTATGATCGCATCTAAGAGATTTCCATGAGGGAGAATATCGCTAGGTAAATAGCACGAAGTCTACGAAGCGCTCTTAAGAATATCAGAGCGGATTTCGATGTATGCATTCGATATTTCGGACTTTCTATTAACTTTATTGGCAATTATTATCATAATTAAATTTTATTACTTTATCGTTTTCAGTAAACTTTTAGAAACACCAAAAAAATAATAGGTATGATAGTTTTAAATGTCTCACGAATAGAGTGTAAATTTTCAGCCTATATTTAGTTTAATGTTTCATCGTTCAGTACACGCCCATTTTTACGCTTTTAATACTGACCAAATCGACTTGTTTCATCTCATCGAAAATAGGTTAATTCAAAATCGTGCCAAAAAT